AAATATCTGCATCATACCTGTGAAACACTGCTGCAGAAGTATACAGAGCCCTTAAGGCCACATTAAAGTTTGAGAATAAGTGGACTTATTCTAAGTATTTGAACAATGATGTGTGTTTGTTACATTGATGACTGGCAGCCACATGTCCTTGGTGGCAGAAAAACCGTGCAGCAGCAGCAGAGATGGTGTGGCGCCTCCTGGTGTTCCACGGCTTGAATAACAGAATCGATAACTTCCTCTGTAAGAATACCGGACCACCATTCCTAGCCTGCGGCGCCAGTACCTGAAGAGGAACAACAGTAGATCAAAACAAACAGCTCTTCATTCCAAACAGCCAAGCTTTACTCTGATCTATTTAAGCCATTCTGATCAAAGGTTCCCCAACTCTAAAGAACCTTCAAAGGTTTGACTGCTTTCTTACTTATTTTGCACATGGAGCCATTATATGAGCATGTAGGAGGTCATTCGAGTTTGCAGCCGCTAAGCGGAAAAACTAAAACATTTGCGGATTTTCACCACAGGATGTTAGTGAACAACCCTGCAGCCACAGAGACGTCTGCTGGCATCAAGAACAAGCAGTTGATTAAACTCATCGCCGTTCAAACAATTTGAAACCTTATTTTATAAATATCCCAAAATTAGCCAGCCAAATATTTTCTTATCAGAAAGGCTCTTTGTGAAGATTTATATTACATAGAACTGGACAAGAAAGAAGTCTTTAGAAACTAAAACTCACCGTGAAACCCGGCTTGTGGCAAAGAACCGATGCAAAGTTAGTGAAAGGAAAAAAATAATTTCAACAAATGCTAAAACATGTCAAGATAACTGCTAAGGTTTCTGTGTTTCTAACTCCGGTTTTCACTCTCATTCCATCCACATTCTGAGGCCTCTACCGGGTTTTCATGTCCTGGATTAACCTCCGTCCATCTTCCCATCAACTTTGACCAGATCCCCTGTTCCTGCCTAAGAAAGGCCTCCCACAGCATGATGCTGCCACTACCAATTTCACTGTGAGACCATGCATTTGTCCAAATGTCAGCCCAAATCACTTTATAGAGGTTACGCCATTTTAGATGAGTGTCCGAACGTCTAGGGGATGAAAAAGTAGTGGGGTCATTCCATGAAAACTGTTAAGTTTGGGTCCATAACATTCAAAGAGGAATAGGAAGCATAATAAAACTGTCAGTAATACTTTAAGTGTCTAAAGCCATTGATTCAAGTTTAGTTGGTAGCATGAGGTCAAATAAAATTGAATAATAAATATATATTATGCACATTTATAACTTTTTATGTTAAACTGCAATCATTTTCTCATGTCCGCTCTGACCATTTTTCTCATTCGTGTAATGTAAAATTTAAGAAATATGAACCTAAATCTCAAAACATTTTTGTTGTTATGGTTACAAATACTTTCCTCTTAATAGGAAATGTGTTAATTATATAAAAATTTCATATTTTTTTATTGAAATAGCATGATTTTTCTATGTCTATCAATTTCATATTCCACCCCGTCACACCAATGTTATTTTGCGCCAAAATGCAATACACTACCTAGAAGTGACATCACTAACATGAAGTGACATCACTAACATCAAGTGACATCATTCAAGAAGTGTTGTTTTGCTGCTTCCTCATCTCTGGCTTCCCATGTGAGTTTCCCCCTGATGTTTTCTGTTTTTTTTTTTTGGTTCTTGTATTTTTGTGGGAGTAAAATAAAATGTAAAATCTAGTGATGGTGAGATGAAGCCTCATGAGGCATTGAACCGTTTGGCCAAATTGCTTCAACGATCCCCACAGTTCATGAGGCTTCATGTCACCACCTACTGGTGGACAGCAGAACTACAGTTTGTAATAAAATCTGTGATTTTTTTTTTTTGCAAATGTTTTTCTTTTTTTCCCCTTTTAAGTTCCTTTGAAATTGTTAAGGGTT